TAGAGCTGATAATAAGCAATTCATGAGCTATTTGAGCCATGTCTTAATTAAGCACATTTATTATGCTTACTAAATGAGCTCATGCTCATTGAGCCTAGTTTGGACTCTACGTGTTCTTGGCTTGTTTAATTTTATGAATGGCTTGTTTATGAGTTTTGCAGAGATTTTTTTTGTCATTATTTGATATTTGAATTTGGCTATAAATCATATAAAAATATATGTAATTGTCATTTCTAATTATTACTTTATAAGTAATCTTAATTGCATATGTTTTTCCAGATTGAATCTTGGTTTACTTAAAAGCTTCTTTTTGAGTTTAGTTACAAGCTTAAAAATAAGCTCAATGTTAACTCGGTTATCTAAAGAACCAAGCTTCAGCTCTTACTCAATAATTTCTCAAATAAACATGCTTGAGCTAAAAAGTTTGAGCTTGATAAAAATTTGAACTCAATAAAAACTAGCTGCAGTAATCCCTTGATCTCTTGTCCTTTTTTTTTTTTCGCACAGTTGTGTCTTAGGATTTAGTCCTTATTTGATTTGTAATAGAATGAACTCATGGCAGCCATATTAACAGGAGCAACTGATCTTTCCAACCTGATGAATTTAATTTCAGAATGTTAATAAGTCTCATTTTGATTCTATGTTACTGGTTTCCCTATTTATTGGTCTGGCCCTTGTTCTGGTCATATTGCTTTTTGTCTAATTACCCCATTCTCCAAGAAAAAAAAAAACATAAACCACAAAGGAAAAACATGATAGTGATAAAATAAAGAGATATGATGTGGAAGGGAGGAGGGAAAATAGTCACGGTTCTCATAATTTTTATTTAAAATTTCTAGCCATGATTCTCATCTCACAGATGTGCCTATGTCAATCACTAAAAGGTCATACCTTGAATCAAAAATTTGTTTCACTTGTGAAATTCTTGCTGTTTTGGCTTACTGCTCTTTTTTTTGCTTCATAACAATCCTATTGGTTTAGTGCTACTTTAAAATATCCCCTTATGAGCAAATTACTAAATTTCTTGGTAAAATTATTCATTGCAGAGGGGTCTTATGGCCCTTGCTGATGTAGAGGGAGCAAGAATTCATCTCAAACAGTTGTCAATCATGCATCAAATGGCTAGTTGGGAATCCATTCAGGAGATCCTTATTAGGCACTACACTCGGCAACTACTCCATGAGATGTACAAGGTAAATATTAGATCCTATTTTTTTAACTCATTGAATCCTTTGGCTTGATGCTACCACCCTTCTTTAAGGGGTAATGATGGAGGATGGAAAAAAACCAGTTGAAGGAATAAACTATCTAGGACTTCGTTTTGTTTCTTTATTATACTTTATGGTTTAACTTTAGCTTTTATATGTAAGTAGGATATTACAGAATATTTAGGTTATTTATATTAACTAGTACTTTACTTGTTATCCAAGTTATCCAAGTATTAAGGCTTATGGGTTATTTTTGCTATTTTGCATTTCTACTAGGTTTTAGGATTTAGTTATAAAAACCTATTTAAATTTTGTTTTGAGTAGGCTTGATTTATGAATTATTGAGATATTGATATTTCGATTAATTTGGAGATTGGTATTTTTAAATATTTGATTTTTGGGTATTAATATTTGAGAATTTTGGTTGAGAATTCAGATTATATTTATGAGTGTTTTGATTTGATAATACTTGTTCTACATCAATTGGGTTCTTGAATAAAAAGATCTGCCAGTGTTGTGAGTTTTGAGTTGAGAGAGGTTTTTTGGAGTGAATTTGAGAGAATTTCAGAGTTTCGTGAGTGATTTCAAAGTTGTGAGAGAATTTTGATTGTATTTCAAAGCTGCTTAAGGGGAAAAACAAAAGTTGTTAAAATAGGAGTTTTCTGGATTGGTTGAAAAAAATTCTTTCAAATTTAAAGCCGCAGGTCTTGTGTACTTTGATACTAGATTGATGTAGAACAAGAACACTCAATAATAGTCTAAAAATCTCAATTGCATGAACTCAACTCTCAAAATCAAAATCCCAATATCTAAATATCAATCATCAAAACCTAAATTCCCAGTTTTAACAAAACCTATGTATATGAGTTCCCTTAGCCTATGTTTTAAGCCCATAGATAATAAAGCTCTCCTAAATACCAAGTCCAATAAAATATAATAAACAAACAAGCCCATAAGATAGATTAAATCTATGTTTTAAATTTATGCCTAGAAAGACATTCTTCCAAAACTTGCAAGAATTTCCTCCATCAGTGGGCTTCCACATAGGCCTGGGATTAAAATTTTATGTCCTGCTTCTCCATTGATATTCCAACTTGAACCTAGGATCTCTAACCCCATCCTTAACACTTGAGTAAGCCCAGGTGGCTATAGTTGACGCCTTTTAATTTGGGAAATATATTACCTCATGATTTGAATAGGTTAAATTAGTACTGCTTGCTTATTAATTATGTTATATCACCTTATATCTCATGTTTGCTCTCTTATGCTTCAGAACTTTATTTCCTTGCGAAGTTATCCTTTGGGCTCTAATTTTCTTAGAATCTGCTTCAATAAATTAGTGCTTTACAGCTTACCGTGTTTGAATTTCCTTAGTGCTATGTGGTATAGACTATAGTTCATTATAGTGCTGACTATGTTACTTTACTGGTGATTCAACATCTTCTTGAATCTAAACCGTCTTTTTGGGGCTCCTACTTGTGTAATCTGCAGGTGTTTGGCTCTGCTGGTGTTATAGGTAATCCCATGGGATTTGCCAGGAGTCTAGGTGCTGGAATTAGAGATTTTTTAGCAGTTCCTGCCAAGAGTATTTTAAAGGTAATGAAATTCTTTATTAACCTTAAACTGCTCATTACTGCAGGACTAAAATATGATGGTTTCTCTTACAGAGTCCCACTGGACTTATCACAGGCATGGCTCAAGGTACTACTAGTCTTCTGAGCAATACAGTCTATGCGCTAAGTGATGCTGCCACGCAGTTCAGTAAAGCTGCACACAAGGTATCACTAGATTGAACTTGAGAAATTCAGGGTTTCTTTTTTAAAAGTTTATTTTTATGGGAAACTTGAATTATTCAGTTAAATATCATCGGTTGACAATAAAAAGCTATTCTGCTTGCAGGGTATTGTTGCATTTACATTTGATGACCAGGCTGTGGCAAGAATGGAAAAGCAATTGAAGGGGGAAGCTTCACACAGTAAAGGCATAATAAATGAAGTCTTTGAGGTACATTATCTGTATGTTGTCTGTATATTTTTGTATATGGATGATAAATACTGCACTGCCGGTGCCAAACCCTGTATCTTGTCAAGGCCTTAAATAAATTATGCTGTTCATTTAGAGCTATATCTTTGACAGCCTAGAGATGCTAGACTGAAGCTTCTGATCTGGCTACAGTGCTACTGCATCCCTTTTCAAGTTTGAATCTTATTTTACCGATGATTCCAGGGACTTACTGGCCTCCTTCAATCACCAGTTAAAGAAGCAGAGAAACACGGCCTTCCTGGCATCCTCTCAGGTAAACCACAGGCACAGAGTTGACGGCGTGTCTATATATACTGTATTGCCATCATGACAAGAAGTCATGCATCATCACCGGGAATGCTGACTCGTTTATTTATGTTTGTACAGGAATAGCCTTGGGAGTAACAGGACTAGTGGGAAGACCAGCTGCAAGTATACTTGAGGTGACTGGAAGAACTGCACAGAGTATTAGAAACAGAAGCAGACTATACCATATGGGATCACAACGGTACAGAGTTCGTTTTCCAAGGCCTCTAAGTAGAGAGCTTCCTTTGAGGCCTTACTCTTGGGAAGAAGCTGTTGGGATATCAGTGCTTACTGAAGCTGATGGTGGCAAGCTCAAGGATGAGGTGTATGTCATGTGCAAAACACTGAGAAAACCTGGTAAATTTGTCATTGTGACTGAGAGACTTGTGTTGGTTGTTAATTGCCCAAGTCTGGTGGACTTCGAGAAACCTGAATTTCAAGGTGTCGCAGTGGATCCAGAATGGGTGATAGAAACAGAAATTAGCCTGCATAGTGTAATCCACACAGATGCTGATGACGGGGTGGTGCATATTGTTGGAAGCAGTTCAGATGCTTTATTGAGACAGAAGCAGCAGCTGTCTCGGAAGGGTGGTGGGACGAGGAAGCGATGGAATAATCCATCAACTCCTCTACCTCTCTTTCAGACCAACTTGGAACTGGCATCAGAGGAAGATGCAGAAGACTTTTTACAGGTTTTGCTATCTACAATTGAGCAGGGGAAAGAGCATGGGGGCAGTGGATATGTACTGCACCGAAATAACATCAAGTAGGTAGATTTGCATCATTTTCAATCCCTGTTGCCTCAAAAAGGAAAAGGAGAAAATGGGAAATGTCCCTATATAGGTTAAAAAATTT